CTGCCCTGGTGTTTCTCTTTATCAAGAATACCTCCTTAAGCCTAGAGGATTTTAAAAAAGAAACATTCAAAATTGAGTTATAAAGGTCTCAAAGGCAAAGTCATATTAAAAAGGGAACCAAAATATTTCCCAAGTGCCATCATCGGATCTCTTGTTTTCACAGTCCAATTACTCTTCCCGTCATATATCCTATTTTCCGGTTTTCTGATGATGCTTTCTCCTGGGGGAGAGGAAAGAAAGAGAAGATGAATGCACATGTTTGCAGAATGGACTATAATATTCCCATCTTGCAAATTATTACTTTTTGTTTAGTCTATCAGCATTACTTTGCATATTGATTATCACTTCTTTTTTCTCTCTTATTACTTCCCAGGCTCCTTTCCATTTACAATGGAAGAAAGTATGGAGTTAACAATATAATTTTTTAGCTTAATCATTATTCTGGGGTTGGAGTTTGTAAAGGTATACATCTTATCAATTTTTGAAGCTTGTGGTTTATGGCTGTGAATACATCAAATATATTTTATTCTTGCAAAACTGGAGTATATTATTTGAAAATAGCATATGGATCATCTCCTTTGTCCTCACATCAATCTAAGAATGTTACTGATTCCCAGGGCAGCCTAGGTCATGAAGCAGCTGCCCATTTTGTCAGAGAAGGCATTACGATCCAGGATTGTGTACCTAATTAAGTCCTTCTTTGAAGCAAACTCACTTCTAGGAGGTATGACCATATTATACTTGTCTCACAATGATTTGTTTATATAAATGAGAGCGTTGTCTTCTTCATTTGTATGAATGACTCTTTGCAGTCGTGACTTTCAAAGTCACATCTCAGTATGTTATGAGACAAAGTTTATGCAACATTTTTGTAGGAATTCAACCAGTAATGCAACATCATCTGATAACTAGCCATCTTTAAATGTAGTAAATGTAGTCACAATTTTTTATAACTATGCCACTTTTTAGTTTCAATACAACTGGATGGCAAAATATCAAACTGTATAATGATTACTACAAAAACTTGGAAACTTACTTTCTGAACACCATATTCATTTCCATTTATTTATTTATTCCCAATTGTCAGCGTTTTATTTTCTTTAAACTAAGCAGTTGAGACATTAAGTCCACATTGTGAGGAAAGGTAAGTAGCAAAATTGGGGTTGTAGATTCAGTGCTGAACTACAATAGTCCCTTCTAAGAAATGTAATTGCAACAAAAGTGTGTGTGTGTGTGTGTGTGTGTGTGTGTGTGTGCGCGCGCGTGTGTGTGTTGGGGGGCAGGTTAGTGAGGAGTGGGTCTGAAAAAGTTGTTATTAGTTGTATCTCTGTTGCGAGCCATCTGTATGGCTGTTCAGTTAATTTACCTTTTTGGGTTCTTCTGTCTACATTAGTAAAAAAAATAAAACAAAATAAAGGAGAGGGAATGAAATCACGTTTTCAAATTTTCATATTACTATAGCATTTTAATATTTTACAACCTGGATTTTACTACAGTACCCCAGGTCCACAGTTGCCCATAATCTTTACTTTTGAGTAGTCCCTTCAGGGAACACCACATGATATAAGCATTCCCTTACTGTTTTATCATTTTTGTTAGTTTTAATCTAATTGTTCTGAGAACGTTCTAAATGAAAAGGTCCATTCTTTGCTCCTTCTGGGAAATTTGCCTTAAAGGTATCAGGGGTCTCTCCTGACACTCTTCAGTTACTTAAACCCTTTCCTAGGATCTTTTAAAAACCCTCCCTTAAAAAAAAAAAAAAATTGAAACTACAAATCCCAGGAGCCAAAGCTGGAAAGACACTCCCACCCCCCCGCCAGCCTTTCCCCGCCCCCCTTGACTCTACTAAGCTAAAACTCAAGTTGAGGCATCCTGAAATGTGCCTGAAAGAAACAACGGCTGTTTCGCCCCTCTTTTGAGCTGTGCTGTCACTGGGCTCCTTTAAATCGGTGCTGGGAGTGAGGAAGCAGACAGGGCGACGCAGAATGGGGTGGGCGTGGGACGCGGGCATCACCTGTTCCGAGAGGCGCGTGCGCACTGCGAGGGCGCGGACCAGGAGGCGGGGCGCGGTGGGAGGGGCGGACGGCGCCCGGCTGGCACCGCTCAGATCTGCTTCTCCGCGGCTCCGGGCGCTGAGGCGGCGTCCGGGAGGCGTCTTCTGCAAAGGTTGCCTGGCGCTGTCCAACATGGAGGAAGCTCCGGCCGCGGGCGTCACCTGCGAGCGGGACTAACCCCCTCCTGGCGTTCCGGGCAGCGGTGCCCGGTCCCGAGCCCAGGGACTCGGCCGCCTGCACGCCCCGCGGGGGACCCCGGCTCGGGTTGCCGCCTGGCCGCGGGCTTCTCGACTGGGACGCAGCGCCAAGAGGGAGCGCGGCGGCCCCAAGTCTCCCTGAGCCATGGGCAACGAGGCGAGCTTGGAAGGGGAAGGGCTCCCCGAAGGGCTGGCGGCGGCGGCAGCGGCGGCAGCCGGAGGAGGGGCTGGCGGGGCGGGGAGCGCCTTGCACACCGTGATCCCGGCCGGCATGGAGGCGGATCTGAGCCAGCTGAGTGAAGAAGAGAGGAGACAGATCGCCGCTGTCATGTCAAGGGCGCAGGGGCTGCCCAAGGGAAGCGTTCCCCCGGCCGCTGCGGAGTCGCCTTCCATGCACAGGCACGCACAGCATGATATATATGTCCGGGCATATATGTACAGCTTCCCGTGCACATATGTGCCAGCCCGTATGTGCCAGCACGGCGGTACATATATGTCGCCTCCGTTCATTTTATTCTCCCCTGTGGGGTGGCGATAAAGAGATCATAAGCCTTTTGATGGGCGGAATAAAAATGATGCATTGTAGAGTTTCTGGTGGGATAGTCAAGGGTTACGTTCTTGGAACTGTGATTTTAGGTTGTGATTTTGGCCTTTTGGAACCTTTTCCCCCTAGGAAGGCGTGGAGAGACGCCCTCCAGTGTTTTACTAATCTGGAAGTCTTCCATTAATTCAAAACGGACGTGTTGGGAAATGGATAGAGCCTGGTGTTTACCTGTCTCTGTTTAAATCTTCTCCTCGGGCATTTCGGGGTCTTTTTCTCTGTGAGTGATAGCTAAATATTTCTGTAACAATACCTTTAATCCCTCTAGAGGTGATTTGTCCTTCCCACCCCACCTCCAGAGGAGGACAGAAGCTGTTTAGGTAGAAAGAATAGAATGAATACACCTTTTATATTCAATGAGGAACCCTGAAATATGTTGTGGCATTAAACAGATGGTTTGGTCACAGGAGAGCAGGTGCTGTACATGTATTTCTGAATTAGCATATGCTATTTTTTAAACCACTGCTCTGTTTTTTGCAAAAGTGGCTTTCAGTTTATGGAAGAACATGTGAATTTGTATTACCTTAAAATTAATTTTCAATACATTGTTTTAAAAACAAATCAATGACAACGTGCACAGACAATTATAAGAGCTAATTTGTAATATTAACATTCATTTCCGTCTCTAACTCCATTTTCCTTTATCCCAATAAATTAGTTGTTTTCTAATTGGAGTACTAAGAGGGTATAATCATTGTGCTTGCCCTGCCTTTATTGTTGTAAACAAATCTTTTAACTTTGCACCCTCCAGTAGAGAACAGTTGTCTGTCCATGGTTCTGAAACCATTTCTGCTTTACGATAACAGAAGGGAAACCTGCAATTTTCATTTGAAATATTGGAAATACGAAAGACCTTAATATATAGGTGTAGATTCTTATCCTCTATTAAAAAATCATTTTCACTCCTTTACTGTCACATAAGTATATGCATATAATTTTGTCAAATAATTATAATATCAAATTTGATGAAAGAGAAATGTAAAATGTTTTATGGTTAGTGGCAGTATATTCACATAAAATCTTAAATGCTTAAGGTCTATTAGGTAAAAAACCCTACTTATCTTGACAGGAAACTACCACTACTAGTGAAAACTAGTCCCTTAATATATGTTGTCCTGTGTTTTAAAACTAGAATTATATTGGACTATTTCTTTGGTGAAAGCCTTTCTTATTCATTACCTTAAATAGTACAATTTATGATACTTGAAAACTTGAATTGGAAAAAAATAGTATTCATTCACTAGATTTTCATAGTATAATATAATAAGGTACAATTTATCAGCCTTTTAGAAATGTATGCCAAATCTTTTATAATTTTCCCTGAGAGGCGCAAGCAACAGGTCTAACATGCTGGTTACAAATACCAATAAAAGTGTGATCTTTGATTTCTAGATTTCCAACTTTTCTGTTTAGACAGTGCTGAAAAATATTATTTCAGCCTATAAAACTGTTGCTTTATGCAGTATTTTTATCAAATAGTATAATTTTAAAGCTCTCTATTGATAATTTTATTATGGTAGGATTCTTATTGATATGTAATCTGTGGTCTAAAGAGTTCTTGGTGAAAGCTTGATCCAAACACTCAAAAAGAAACACTAACTATGATTTTTGCAACTTGTTTATATAATACTGAAAAATTTCTATTAAAGGTATATCACTTTTGGAAAGTTGTTATTCCCATATATGATGACCAAAGAAATGCTTGGTTTATCATGTAGACTTTTAGAGTTATGTTAATTTAAATGCATATAAGAAAGTATAACCAAATTATTTGAAGTTTGAAGCATTTAAGAGGTATGAATTAAACATGGTGGGATTTTTTTTTTTTAAATAAAGGTCGAGGCCCTAGGTTGATATCCTGTTCATTTTGAATAATTCATAGTAAATTACACATACTTCACAACCAATGTGCCTCAAGTTCCTTGCCTTTAAATAAGGCTAATAATACCAGTCTTAACTTTCTTAGGGTCATTGTGAGGATCAATTAAAAATTAAAAGGGATGTTTTTGTTTTTTAATTTAAAGGAACCCTACAAATATAACAACTGCTAATATCAGCAATGGGTGACACTGCCATTGATGATGGCTACAGACAAGTTGTATATTGAATTATATATTGTTAGGAGTTATTTAGTTATACTGATGTTCTTTTACATTTGGCAAAGTCAGTGTGATGGAATGGAAATCGCCTTCTTTCCCCCGACCAGGAGTCAGGATACCAGATTTCTATGACTGACTGGTTTTACGACCTTGAGTTAGTCTCTTTGCTGCTTTTGATCCCTGTATCCTGGGACTTAGAGAATAAATGAATAGATATTCATTTATTTA